GACTTACTTGGGGTTTGCGCTAGCGCTCGAACTCTCCTCCGGATTCATGCTGACTTCACGCTTAAGCAACACGCCTTCTCGATCTGGCCGCCCAGCCCGCCTTCCTGGCACGCCCGCTAAGGCCTGCCCGCCCGTTTTGTTCTGCCACGTGCCGTTCCTGCTCCTAGCCCGCCTCCTGCTAATCCCGTGTTCCATCCTGCCTTCCTCCCCCTTCTATCCGTCCTCTCTTCCCGTGTTGGAGGAGCTGCACCAACTACACGCGGCAGGTAAGGAAGAGATAGCCCTAGGGGGTACGACCGAAGACAAAGGGGGCGGGCACCAAGGGTTTGGGATCTGCGCTGAATGCATGGCGCGCGAGCAGGCAACAGCGAACAGTCTTTAAATGATTGGTTTTGTTTCTGGGGTTGATGGTGTTGTTGGTGTTGGCGTTGGTGTTGTTGTGGTTGTGGTTGTGGCCGTGGTTATGGTTGTGGTTGCGTTTGTGGTGGTGGTTGTAATTCTTGCTGCTGTTGTTGCTGTTGCTTCCGAAGGATAATTATTGTTGATCCCGCCCGCCCGCTGCACATGTGATGTTCCCATTGAAGTGCCCCTCCCGGGGCTCGTTCCCTGCTTATCATCGGGGACAATCTTGGTCGTCAGACTGCGCCCCCGGCCCCCGAGCTACAACAAAAACAGCTGCCGCAGGATAGCCGAGAAGGGTCTTCAATAAACCCCCCCGGGCAATAATGGGAAAATGATTAACTTCCGCGGGCTTATTGACGGATTTGGACCCCAGCAATTAATTGGTAATTGATTATTCTCGGCGGCAGAGGCCTGAGAGGCCAAGAGACGTGATAAAAAATCTCAGCGTTCAACGCCCGGCGGCCTCCTCCTCCTCCTCCTCCTCCTCCTCCTCCTCCTCCTCCCCCTCCTCCTCCCCTACACGCCGCCACCGCAACTGCTGCACGCGTGCGAACATGCATCGGCGGCGAAGACGGCGACGACCACGAAGACGACGAGGACGAAGACGACGACGACGACGAAGACGACTCGAAGAGTCGATAGGATGTGCGTCGACTTCTACTGCAATTTGTTCACGAAAATGCTCGAAATTCCTCCCGCGCGCAGAGTAGCCCAGGAGGCATTCTCAACTGGGGGCAATAACCGCCAAACAATATCCAGCACGGCCGACAATAGTGGGAAACTAATACCCCCGAGGCGGCGAAGACGACCACGAAGACAACGACGGCGGCGACGACACGAGGACGACGACGAAGATGACGAGGACGAAGACGACGACGACGAAAACGACCAGGAGTCGATTGGATGTGCATCAATTTCTATTGCAAAGCTTTCGCGAACATGCTCAGAATTCCTCCCGCGCGCACGGTAGTCCAGGAGGTATTCCCAACCGGGATAAATAACCGCCCAACAATTTCCAGAACGGCCGACAATAGTTGGAAAACGATCCCCCCGCGTCGGCGAGGACGACGACGAAGACGACGACGACGAAGACAACGACGAAGACGACGAAAGCAACGAAAACGACGAATACGAAGAGTCTTCTGACCCCGCAACCCAGGCATAGCGGCGACGCTGTTGACCTACAGCCAAGGTCCTGGGGCCCTCCGAAGGCCCCAAAAGGCCTAAAGTTGAGAAAACCCTCCAGTCGTGTTTTTTTTTCGCAGCGCCCAGATCTGGGGAAGGCATGTGGCCTAGAACCAAAGCAAGGCGGCGAGGTTTGTGACCCAAAACCCAGGCACAGCGGTGGGGTTTTCAACCACGACCCAGGCACGGCGGTGCAGTCTGTGACACACTACCCACAACGGCGGCAAGGCGCCCGAGTCACAACCCAGGCACGGCGGCCAGATCTCTCAGCCACAGCCCAGGCATGTCGGCGAGGGTTCGGACCCACAATCCAAGCACGGCGGTGATGCTTCTGGCCCACATCCCAAGTACGCCGGTGGGGTTTCTGACCCCACAACCCAGGCACGGCGGTGCGGCTTCTGAGGAGGAGGAGGAGGAGGAGGAGGAGGAGGAGGAGGACTGATTGGACAGAGCTGCCACCTGGAGTGCCGATGTCGCCTGTACGGTCCAGAATAACTATCGATGTGATGCGCTTCACCACGAGCAAGTCGAGGACTCCAAACATTGTAGCGAATCTGCAACCCACGGCACGGCGAGCGAGAGCTTGGATGAGGAATGGGCAAGAATCGTCGTCGTCGTCGTCGTCTCCCGTCATCGTCGTCCTCGTCGTCGTCGTCCTCCCTCCTCCTCCTCGAATCTACGAAACGAAGCCCAGAACAGGGGGGAGGAGGAGGAGGAGGAGGAGGAGGAGGAAGAGGAGGAATAGGAGGAAAAAGAGGAGGAGGAGGAGGAGGAGGAGGAGGAGGAGGAGGAGGACGAGGAGGAAGAGGAGAGGAGGGAGGGGAAGGATGAGGAGGAGGGGTGAATTTCCATTCCCCGCCAAAAGCTTCGGGGGGGCGCATCATTAAAGACCCTTCGCGGCTACTTCCTTACAGTTGACCGACGCTCTCGCACGGGATTTTCCCACAATGGATGTAGGAATCTCGCTCTCGCGTGGAACTTCCTCGCAATTTATTCAGACGGCGCGCCCTCGGCGCTCAAGCGTTCAAGAATCACGCTCTCGGTGTGGCCTTTCTTGTGGTTTACATGGGAATCGCGCTATCGCTTGAGACTTCCTCGCGACTCATACAAGACCCGCCTGTTCGACCTGGTCGCCTGGTCCCGCCTTCCCGGCCTTCCACCCCTCCTTCCCCGAAAGCAGCGGCGGCGGCGGGCGGCGGCGGCGGCGGAGGCGGCGGCGGCGGATTCGCCCCCAGTAGCTGCCCATCCAAAGACGACTACTGAATATGCTGCGGCTCGGGCCAGGCTCGGGTGCTACGTATGTGTTGGGAGGGCGGGTGGGAGTGAGCGAGACGGCTTGCGGGCGGGGAGGGAGTCTTGACCCCTCCCCCTGCCCCCTCTCCTGGACCTGGACGGGGGGGTCCGCGAGGTGTCAGGGAGTCCAAAACAGCATCGGCGAGGAAGCCAAACTCATTGGCATTACTATGGCTTTGGCCCCATTTTGGCCTCCTGATGGGGGTGCCCTAGTTAAAGCTCCCCTCTTGTTTGATTGATCTCCTCCAAGATGGCCCCAAGAAGCGCCAAGGAGGCCCCAAGAGGCCCCAAGATTGCCCCAAGATGGCCCCAGGAGGCCCCCAACAGGCCTCCAAGAGGCCCCAAAGAGGACCCCAAACGGCACCAAGAGGCCCCCCCCGAGGCACGCAGGACGCCCAAGAGTGGCCCTCTACTCGCCTGGGCGTCGTTTCTGAATGGGGTGGTGGGGATATTTTTTTTGACCTGCGACTCCAAGGACGAATCCAGAGAGCGGGTCGAATTGGTGGTGGGGATACGCGAAGCGTCTAGAATGTATTCAGACAGCGCGCCCTCGGCGCTCAAGCGTTCAAGAATCACGCTCTCGTTGTGGCTTTTCTTGTGGTTTACCTGGGAATCGCGCTATCGCTTGAGACTCCCTCGCGGCTCATGCAAGACACAACCTTCAGCAACCCGCCTGCTCGATCTGGTCGCCTGGTCCCGCCTTCCCGACCCGCCCGCAATGGGTCTGCCCACCCGATCTGTCCGTCTGGTTAGACCGTTTGTTTTCTGCTCATTGCTCCCATCCTGCTAAGTTCTCTCGTGCTCCATCCTTGCCCCCCCCTTTTTTCCACCCATCCCCCCATCCCCTGTTTTAGGGGCCGCGCTAAATGCGCGTTGCAGGTGAGGAAGATCTGCCCCCAAGAGAGTACGATCGAAGACGAAGAGGGCGGGTATCGAGGGTTAGGGATATACGTAATGGGCGATGAGTGTTCAACTGATTGGTTTTGTTATTACTGCTGCTGCTGTTCTTATTGGTGTTGATGTTGTGACTGGCGTTGTCGTTGTGGGTGTAACGGTTGTTGATGTCTCAGTTTTCAAATAATGCTGATTCCCCCCCCGCCTGGGCACCTTTTGCTTCTTCAACTGAACTGCTTCTCCCGGGGCTTGCACCCTGTTTCGTACAAGGAAAGGTGAGGGGTCACAAAGCTGGCCCCGTGGCCCCCGAGGTACGACAGCACTGGGTCCCGTCTGAAAGTTCCTGACAATGTATTAAAGAATCGCGCTCTCGCGCGGACGTCCTCATATGTTATATGGGAATGGTGCTCTCGCGTGGGACTTCCTCGCCATGTATTCAGACGCCGCGCCCTCAACACTCTTGAATCAGGCTCTCACTGTGGTGTTCTTCACGGTCGACGAGTCGAGCTATTTATCAAAACTTCCTCGCGACTCATCCAGGGCGCACGCTTCAGCAACCCGCCTGCTCGACATGGCCGCCTGGGCCCGCCTTCCCGACCCGCCCGTTCGGGTCTACCCGCCCGATCTGCCCGTCTGTATCCACCACGTGCTCTGCTCCTAGCACCCCTCCTGCTAGTCTCTTTCATGCTCCATCATCCTCCCTCTCCCATTGCCCCTTCCTTCCATCCGTCCTCTCTTCCCCTGCCTTATGCGCTGCACGGAATACACGTTGCAAATTAGAAAGAGATCTCCCCCCAAGGGGGTATGATCGAAGAGGAAGAGGGCGGGTACAGAGGGTTTGGGATATACGTATTAAACGGCACGCGAAAGGATAAGAGCGATCAATCTTAAAATGAAGGTGGTCGTTGCTGCTGTTGTTGTAACGTTTGGCCCGTGGGGGGCCTCACCGGGCCCAAGGACCGTCAACAAACGGATCGGGGTGAAATTCGACTTTGCGGGAAGGGTCGGGACTTCTGGGAACCCGTATGAAAACGATCAGGGCATCACAAGTCTGAGAACACAAAGCTGTTCGGCGGTTCGTGCGGATTTCTTGGATGGCGGCGCCTCTTGCGCCGCTCCTTGCGCGATCCGCGCGTTGGGGAGGGGGACCCAGCGCTGACCCAAGAGATCCACACGGACAGCCGAACGTTTCTGTTCGTTGCACCTTCTGCTCCTCCTTCGGTGGCCTGTAGCGCGCAGAAGAAATCCCCGCGGGCACCGTCGGAGCCCCAGTACGGCATGCTGGAGTTCAAGACGCGCACCGTGTCCCCGACCGCGGACGTGGCCCACACCCACCCGGCCAGGCCGCTCCGGCCACCCTTGGACGGGAGCACGAGCATCTGCCCGTCCTTGGAAGGAGAGAAGTCAGCACAACCACTGTCTTCGTGATCCAATTCGGCGGCGAACTCCGAGCCCCTGCCCTCGCCGATCAACGACTCGGTCAACTCGAATTCGTCAAACACGTGGGAAAATCCGAACCCTAACCCCGCCTCCCATCGATTCAGGTGGCTGGTTGGGGGGCGCGCAAACATGGATTAGCGATCCATGGATTTGGCGCGCGGTACCTCCCCCAAATGCGGCCGGTGACACCTCGTTCGGCGGCGGAAATCTGCGATTTCCCATTGAAGCGGGACCCGTCGCTAATCCACGCCCCCCTGATCCATGTTTGCGATCGCCTGGTTGGTGGGGGCAGGGTTCGGACGTCGCCACGGGGAACACTGAACGCGGAACGGAGGGGCTGACCTGGCCACGGCGGGTAGGTCCCCCGACCCAAATCCCGAGAACGGCCCGAAGACCAGCGCCCCTCCTGAGCCCTACGTGGTCCCTGTCTCGGCGCCTTGGCTGCCATTCTCCGGAGGTCCACGCGGACTCCCTGGGTCGGCGCTGGACCCCCTCGGTGGCGCGGGGAGCGCGCCAGGGCGGCGCTGCAGGCGCCGCCAGGTGATCTACAACGATCTGGGGGGGAACTCCCCCTCCCCCCTCCGCAGCGGCGGCTCTCGCGCTGGGAGGCACCCGGCGTCTCGAGCCAGGCCGACAAAACATGCGGGAGCCTTTCTGGTTGCCCTTGGGAGTCCCGAAACGGTGCGGTGACAGACCGTGTGGTGACCTCGGAACCCCAAGAGACCTCACCGCACGGTCCGTCACCGCACGGTCTTGCGACCCTGGAGGCCCCTGTCGCCCGAGACATCCTCGGACAGGAGCTCGAGTCCCAAAACCGTGCGGTGACCCCGAATCCCCACTGACTCACCGCACGGTGTGGTCACCACACCGTTTGGGGGCCCCCGATGGCCTCTGGGAGCCGAGAGACAGAAAGACGGCACACGCACTAGCTCCCGGAGGTCTGCGCGGAGCTCGTGGGTCGGCGCTGGGCCCCCCGAGGCGGCGACTGGGGCGTGCGCCGCCCCTGGCGCGCTCCGCGCGCCAGCGAGGGGGGGGGCCAACACCGACCCACGAGCTCCTCGCAGACCTCCGACAGGTCGTGCTCATGCCCGCGGCTGTTCTTCGACGTCCCGCTCGAGGTCGCCGGGCCCTCCCGAGAAGCCCCGTTGAGGAAGACCCCCGGGCGCTTCCGCGGAGCACACTCTCGCCTTGCAAGAAGCCTCCCCGCCTCCTCCCCGCCTCCTCAGGAGGCCGCCCTCTCACGCCACCCCTGAAGGCCTCCCAGATGAGGTCCGAGCACGAGCAGATGGCATCGGAGAGTGGCACCGCATCGCCGATGCATCGCGGATGCATCGACGACGGCGGCGACGCACCGTCGACGGCGGCTCGATGTGTGGAGAAAATCGGCCTCGCGGCGCAAGACTCCATCTCATTCTGCCTCAGTTTGGCGGGTTCCAGATACCCCCAACCATAAAAATTGGCATCTCTTGGCGCCGCGAAGATTGCTTCCTTGTCGAATCACTACGCCCGACGCCGCAAGCTAGGACGCCTCGTGTGGGACCTCCCCAAACCTACAACGGCACACGTGCATACACACATCTGTACTACGATGGCCCTGCGGAGACGCGAGGAGTATTCAACAGATCGCAACAAGCCTAATCCACTTGGCAGGCTCAGCCTCGACCCCCTACTCCAATCGGCCACACCTCTGCAGGGACTGCACAGTGAGATAGGTAAGCCCCAGACGCTTCCTCTAGAGCCAGGGGGGCCCATCAAACTCCACACTCCAAATCGAAACGACTTCATTGACGAGAAGCGATACTCGGAGAATCAGAGTGGTCCCTCTGAGCTCACACTCGAGCACACACGATGGAAAATTAACGAGTATTTCTCCCGCCATCCCTGCCTACTCTGCGCGGGACGGAATGAACAGGCCTGAGATGCATAAGTCGAACCCTGGCGGTGACATTGGCGCAGTGTGTCTAGGTCACAGAAGGGGGGGGGGCGGGGGGGGGGAGAGTGGGGAATTTGTCACCTCTGCCAGACGTCCGTCGCTTGAGATAAGGCCCATGAGGAATGGGGGCCCCCGTGGAAAGAGAAGAGGGATCTCAGGCTGCACCTTGGCCACCCGCCCTGAGGGCCCCATCACTCAGGGCCTCCTGAGCCGATCCTCCTCTAACGCTGCCCCTGACCGACTCAACTCTCGGGCCACGCCTCGGGCCTCCAATGGCCCTTCAAGACGGTTATTCCGGCACATCCGGAACGTTCTCGGCGCGGCGCAGCTGATGGAAACCACCCCGGGCCCCCAAAGAGAGAGAGAGAGAGAGAAGACGCCGTGCACGTCAGAGGTGCACGGGCAAGGAAAAAGCGCCAACGCGACGGCAGCCGCTGCCGTGAACCACTCCGAACATCCCAGCGTCGCCAATGCCATGGGCAGGGCGTGCCCAAAGACTTGTACATGCACGTCCCCCTCGCCATGAGGCCCCGAAAGCTTGTTGGAAAACATCCGAAAGCCGTCGAACTCCCTCTCCCCAGAGCCTATCCCCCCCTGACGTTGCCCCTGCCTCGCGCCTCCCCTCCCGCCCCCGCCGCGGCGTCGCCAACAGAGGCCTCCCACGTAGGATCGGAGCAGATGGCGGAGGATCGTGTCGCATCGCCGATGAATCGCCCATGCATCGGCGATGCTCTGGCGACGTCGGCGCGGAAAACATCGGGCGTCATGTCGAGCCGTATCGTCGATGCATCGGCGATGCGGCGCGACCCTCCGGCCCCGTCTGCTCCGACCCCACCTTTCTAGCGTGGGGGCAGCGGGTCCCCAGGGACACGGGTCCTGGACCCCGGGACCCTTCCCCCGGGCGAGGTCTTCCTCCTGAGCCGTTCTCTTCCGGCAGTCCCGGGGCCCGTGGGCGGGCCCCGAGGGCCAGAAAGCGGTGACAGTCGGAGCAGGGCGGCTTGAGACACTGGATGTCCAAACGCACCAGTTTTCCGCGCTGCGTCCAGCCGTGGCGACGAGGGGCACCCCCCGAAGGCCAATTACCAGTGTCTCAAAGGGCCCAGCCTCAGGACCCGTTTCCCTCAGGGCCCGACTCCCCCACGGCAACATCCAGGAGGCCTAGAATGACGAACGAACAAAACACACCCATACCCGTAGGGGGGTCGGAGGGGGCTATGTGCGCGTGTTGTCGGATGGGGGTCCCCGCTCGAACGGGAGCCTCCCCCGCGGTCCGACAACCCGCACCCATAACCATGGCCAGTCCTCATCCTGCCGATCTGAAAGGGTGCCGTTCGTTCGTCATAGGGCCAAGGTCCTGCTCAAAGCCCCCGTTCACCAGCGCCGGCGCGCTCGCGGCAGCCTCGGCGTCGCGTTCGGGCGCCGCGCGGCCGCCGGCGTCCGACAAGAGCCCCTCGCGCTGCCGTTCGGCGGCACGGGGGCCGCGCAGCGGCTGGCCGTCCCGGCCGGCGGGCGAGTCCGCCGGGCCGCGGGCCGCGACGGCCTCCGTGGGCTGTCCGTCTGAGTGTTTTTTTTCTCTGAAAATAACGGCATCGACCTAAGCTTTCGGAGGTCCGGAAGGATTCCTCGGATCGGCGCTGGAGCCCCCTGGCGGCGCCTCCAGCGCCGCCCCTGGTGCGCTCCGCGCGACAGGAAGAGTGGTCCAGTGCCGATGCAAAAATCAGCGCGGACATCTGAAAGTGCATGCTTATGCCATTATTCGCTCCTCGTTGCTCCCTCGTGAAATATTTTCCCTCACCCGAGAGGTCGGGGTTGGCATATTCACAAGTATGAACTGCCGAACCGTCGCGAACACCGTATATATTGGGGGAGGCTACATCCAGACAGAGTAAGCCCAGACGGAGACCGAGCACTCCTTTTAAACCTGCTATGGACTTGGCCTCCTACCCGTCCAGATGGACTCACTCGCGAGGCACTCGCCTCAAAGACGCACCCGGCGGCAAGGCCGGCAGTCCTGCACACTCTTTCGTGTCCGCCCATCCCCCCACTCCCCCTTCATCTTCTGCCACTCCCTGGCGGCAAGGGCAGGTTTCGTGCATCCTCAATTCCTGCACGCTGGCCCCCGTCGCGAGGCAGTTGCATCAAAGACACGCCCGGCGGGGGGGCCGCTAGCCGTGACAGCCCAAGATGGCCCCAAGACATCCTCCGAAGAATTCCATATCGTGACCTGGTCGTTCAGGGAGACCGCGGTTGGAAGCAGGGTGGCCCGACAGTTGTGGCACCTGGGTGAAACTGTGGCAGCAAACGGTGGCGGCGCAAGCCAGCCGCGGGCCAATTACCAAGTCGACAGCGAGGAAACCACCAAGAGTCCCCAGAAGACGCCCAGAAGACCTCCAGGGGCCTTAAAAACTGTTGTGAGCCCCCCAGAAGCTCTCCAAGGAGGAGCCTCCGCACAAAGAGCTGAGGAGGATCGGGAGAGTACGCAGGATATGGCGAGAATGAAGAAACAGAAGCATGGCGAAAAGATAACGAATCGCATTAGTATTACGGCGATGCCGGAAAATGTAACAAGCAACTATCGCTAAATTGTCGGCTTGACCTTCCTGCCAGTCACCCTGCATACCAAACTTCAAGGACCAAGGTGCATGGCGCGAAACGCCAATGCAACCCTGTATGTATATTCCCTTTTCTATTTTTTATAATCAGGGGGGGTGCGACCCCCCCCAAAACGGGACCCCCCGGGTCCGTGGCACGGGGGTATGCCGGAAATCCTTGCCAAGACGTGCGCGCAGGCGGGTGGCAATCCCAAATCGATCGGCGAAAGGCCCAAGAGCCACCCAAGACGGTCCAGGATAGCATCCAGCCAGCCTTGACCCCCGCCAGATGCCCGCAGATCACCCCAATGTCACCCCAAAGAGACGTTCGAACCCCAAAAACATAGATGTCTCATTGGTTTTTGGATGTTTTTGGATGCTCGCAAATTCGGCCTTCCACGCGTCCGAAAACGTT